GCACGCACGCACGCACGCACGCACGCACGCACGCACGCACGCACGCACGCACGCACGCACGCACGCACGCACGCACGCACGCACGCACGCACGCACGCACGCACGCACGCACGCACGCACGCACGCACGCACGCACGCACGCACGCACGCACGCACGCACGCACGCACGCACGCACGCACGCACGCACGCACGCACGCACGCACGCACGCACGCACGCACGCACGCACGCACGCACGCACGCACGCACGCACGCACGCACGCACGCACGCACGCACGCACGCACGCACGCACGCACGCACGCACGCACGCACGCACGCACGCACGCACGCACGCACGCACGCACGCACGCACGCACGCACGCACGCACGCACGCACGCACGCACGCACGCACGCACGCACGCACCCACACACACACACACACACACACACACACACACACACACACACACACACACACACACAGGCACACACCACATTTGGCAGCGAATTTGAATAGGGGCTCAACTCAAATGTGGTTGGACATCAATCCCCATAATGGTGTCCACTGGGCTTATCAAGGTCAGACCCATTATGTTGTGCAGAATAGGGGGATTCCTTTTTTTTGGTTTTCCTGTTGGTGTCCCTTGAAAAACAAGAAGTCTCAAAATTGTGGGTTTCCCTTTGATTTCCCTTTTTACTTCGCCCCCTTAATTTTTGGGCACCCCCCCAAAAAGAAGAAGAAGAAAAGACAAAAATCAAACACGACGACGTCACGGAAAAAACGTGCTCGGCAGGTGGCGGATACGCAATCGCAGCTCCTGCGAGCGGCGGCGCAGTTCAAAGGTCTGTCCCGCATCGTGGGGCCCCAGGCTGACAAGGGCACCAAGCAGCGGGGGCCCCAACGGAGTCGATGCGGCGATTTGTTTGGGGCTGGGGCGCCGGGTATGTACATAGGTGTCCTTTCCATCGGTGTGGGTTCACTTAGGGTTGTTCCCCATTTGCCAGTTCTATCTAGTTTTCCAAAGAGCCACCTATGGTGCGGTATGTATCAAAACAAGGGGACCCCAAAAAGGTTGGCTTTCCTTTTGCTTGCAATAAGCAAGATGAAAAGGGTACACCTCCAAAAACGCAGACTCCCACATCTGCCCCAATGGTCCTGTGGCTTGGTATAGACCTAGAATTGTCCATACTTGAGCAGACCATAGAGTCCGAAACCCAACTTTAACGACGTTAAGGGGGGTTGCAACGTCACCTTTGACCGGGCCATAGTAAGCGAAGGGTACTTCAGTCATAGGTCTGTTGCCGCCAAACCGTCCCCTGGCGGCGGTCGCCGGCACTTTTTTTGATCTTTTGAGAGCGCAGTGGATGAAGATGTGTTTGGAAAGAGCCGGCTTGTGTCAACCACCGAAGGCATGAGTTTCCGTGGAGAAGAGCTTGTCACCCATGCAAATGTCCACAGGATTCAACATATTCAAGCAACTCAAGCTCATACCCACATATAGGGGGGCGAGCAGCAAAAGGTTGGGCCTGTTCGTCAGCAACACAAGAAGTTGCTGCTAGTTGGCTGGTTGTGTGTGTTTTGTTCAACTTTCTTGATATGTGTTTTTCTTGGTAGTTTGTTTTTTTGCTCGCTTCTTTTCATTGTGACACTCCGGGAGTTTCTTCACTTCGTGCTTTTCGGAAAACTGTTGAGACAAGCCGAAAGTTTCGCCTTTCGATTTTGCCAATCCAGAGTTTTTTGCCGGCTGCTAAAGAACAGTCGGTTTTTGTTACCAACCACGAGACGGGCGGAACGTGCGCAAGCTCTAGGATGGTTTTTGGAATGAACGCTTTTTAGGTTGATACCACCCATTTAAAAAGCATTGTTTTCTTTTAGCCAGCCATTTCCCTCTGCGTGGTGCCAGGCTTCCTGGAGCCGAGTCAGCTCATTGCGAATAGAAAGTCCCTTTTGGAGCCCGCCAAAAACGTGACAGGTGCTGACATGGGACGCAGGAACCCTCGTTATTGGATATTTGGCACTGGCCAGTAATGGAAACAGCGATCCGTACGCAAACTCTGACGCATCAGTTGCAAGCATGTCCGGACGAAGCCTTTGGCAGGCCTGGAACGTGGCAACCCTGCTTAGTCCATGTTTTCGAGCGGCCTGCTGGGTCACGGTTTCCCAGCTTCAAGCCATTGCGTTTCAAGTTGAACGCTCTTTGGCCCGCGCTGCCAACGTGACGTGTTGCGCGCGCGCGCGGCCTGGCGCCAGGAGTTCTGGCTACGTGACAATTTTGCGCTCGCCCGCGTCGCTTGGCGAGCGTCGCAACTTCGCAGGCCCTTGGGACTCTTGGTTTCGCAGCGCCCCTTGTCGACCCCAAGCGTCGGCTCAAGGTTTCCTTCACGCGAGCAAAAATGGGCGACGGGCCCGAAACGCTGACCCCCAAACCCGAACCCATGCTGAAGGTGTCTCGCATATCTTTTTTTCAGCTAGCAAAGTGGAACAGTTTGCCCAGAAGGGCATGTTTGTGATTCAGGGAACTCCCCCAAATGGCTGGTTTTCATTCAACTTCTGAGTGTGGTATGCCCGCATTTGTTGGGGTCGCTGGTTTTCCGAAAAGTGGGTCCCCTCTACTCCCTCTGTTCCCGAAAAAGAGACACCAAAGCTTGGTGGCTCCCAGCCATTCCCCGAGCCTTTTAGGTTTTTAGCTGTCTAGTGGTCGGGTTGCCACTTAAACTACAAGTTAAACTTTTAGCAGGGGATCTGAGAACGGACAGCTCAGAGTAGGAAAAAAGGTTCCGGGAAACCAGGTGGGAGAAGGCTTTTGGATTTTTAGCAGTTTGAAAGGCATTACTACCTCAGCTTCCCTTTTCGTAAATGGGCAATCAACATTTATGGTGGGGAGGACATGGGGGGACATCCCGAACTGTCAAAAACGAAGGCGGGCCAGCCCCATCTCCCATGTCCTCTTCTTAGAAGCAAATGCTGCTCTGCGTTGCTCATGATTCTGGGTTTGTCCCGAAAGAAGATATGGATCGTGTCTCCAGAAATTGTGAGCCAAGTGCCCTCGCGCGAGAAAAAGTGGATGCCGGAGCCAAACCCTGCTGCGGAATCCCACCCACGGCAGCGCTTTGTGTCGCCGCCCGTCCGCCTTCTCTATATCCAAAATCCCAAGCCCCTGCCAAAACAATCGCCGCCCAGGGAGCAAGACCAGTACTATGCTCTCGCAGCGCAGATCCCCCAGCTCTCCACAAATCAGGCCAACGCGACAATGCATGCGACCAGGCGCGACCCCAGGGTGTGTCTTTAAGTTTTGGGCGCCGCTTTTCGGGCTGCGAAGCAAAGCCAAATAATCCATGTGAATGAGAGCCAAAACTTGGTAGCCAAGGCCAGGCCCAGGAGTGTGACCAATAGAACACATCGCACGGGAGATTCATCTGTTGAAGCCCGATGCTTCATCTCCTATACTGGCTACTTGGAGCCAGGAAGTCTGAACTGGTGAGTTTGATTTCCCCTTTATGTTGTGACTGTGCGGAAGTGTTGTGCCTGAGCGCGCAAAAGCGCTACGCCTGCTGACGTGCAAGAGTGCTGCGCCTGACAGTGCGAAAGTGCTGCGACTGCCACGAAATCAGCGCCTGACCGTGAAAAAAATGCGCCCTGCCACGAAGCCTGACCGTGCAGAAGTGCTCCTGCCAATGGTTCGAGAAGTCAGCAGCGGCTTGTTCAACTTTGGTATTATCAAAGGACCCAACCTCCCAAGAAGCTGATGCACCAATCTGGAGGCTGCATTTGCAGGTTTGTTTTTTCCGCCACCAATGTTAGTTTTGATCACTCCAACTCCTTAGGAATAGAAGCAGACTCAAACAGCTTGGAAGCGCATGGGTGGGGTGGGGCAAAGGGGCTTAGGGGGGAGGGTGGATCTTGTGATTTTCATCATGCCTGAAGCATGGGCTGTGCCATAGCTTCCAAGGTGCCGAGTTCTAGTGACAAAACAAGCCCAAGCAAGTCGAGAAAACATCACGCCGCTTCCATCTCCATTGTCATGCAAAACTCAATCGGATCTAGATGTTCTAGTTGCTCCTTTTTCCGAAACTCTGAAACACCACATCCAGCATACTTGTGGTGGGTTGGGGGCTGTCCAAACTCTGGATGTGCCTTCCTTGTCGCACATCGCATCTGTGGAGAAATCAGGACCCTTTCTGCCCACTAAAACGAGTCGATCTGCAAAGCCGTTGGTTTCCCTTCGATCCGTATCAAGTCAAGGTTTCTTAGGCTAGGTCCTCCAGTAGAGAGGTTGGAATAAGGGTCCCCGGTTTTCTTTTTATGTAGTCGATTTTAGCACAGAAACCCTCCCAACCAAAAACGGGGTGAGAGGTCGGGCACGCGGAATAGACCTAGTAGGTTCTAAGAGTCAAGTCAGAGTCCCCGGTTTGATCCGTGGAGGTTGTGCGGCGAGAAGAAGACTCCTTGCCAAGTGGCATTGAACACCACCGTAACGGCACTGCATGACGAGCTGCAAGCCCAAGAGCCCTGGCCAAAAGACGCGAGTCAGGCACAGATTCTGCTTGGTCGAGCCACATCTGTTTTTTTTTTGGTTGGGGGGGGGGGGTCGTTTGCAGTAAGCTGTTTTTGAGCCTGTTTCAGGAGGAAAGCCTAAAGGAAAGCATCCGTTTTTCTTTTTTTTGGGGGTTCTTTTGTGGAGTGAACGCCGTTTTCGGGCTTTCAAAAGGAGAACCACTCACTTTCGTCCCCTGTGACTTTGCAGATTAAGCCTTAGACTCGTGGATGCGTGACATACCAAAAGATATGTGGGCTGTTTCCTTTTGAGGTTGGCCCCTAAAAAGGGGTTGTCTAAGGGAAACCCAGGGAAAGAACACGTGTTTCTTCTTCTTCTTCTTTTTTTTTGGGGGGGGACCGACGGACCGATTGAGAACAACGAACGCAATCCCAAGTGCCGGGATTTTTTGAGCCCCAGTCACTTCCCTGGAAGATGAACCATGCTTTCGGGGACCCCTCCTTAAGTTCTAGTTCTAGGGATGCTGAAGGTGGCGATTCGCCACACGAACGTGGCGATGCCTTAGGTGTGGCCAAATCTCCCCTTAGACTGGGTTGGAAACAAATCTCTTTTCAACTCAACCAACAACAAGACCTTTGCTCAGGGGAAGAGCAACCCAGACTATTTCAGTCGTACAAGGTTTGACATATTTCCTTGAAAGCGTCAAACATTGCAGAATGCCATGCCCGTTTCAAGATGGTTCCTTCACATGTTTCAGAGGGAACTTTGTGCTTTTGGCTGTACTTGTGCTTGTTGGCGGCTGTCTAAACACATGTTGCCCATTGACACGTTCCCTTTAAAGGGGTTGGCTGTCTAAACACAACTCCCCGTTGACACTTGTATATTTCCGTATGAGGGGTCGGCTGTCTAAACACTATTTACCCATTGACGCGTCTTGATGTAGGTTTCCCTGGCTGTCTACACAATTCCCCATTGACACATCCTTATGTGGCTTTCAGTAATGAGGGATCCGCTGTCTAAACACAATTTGCCCTTTGACAACGTGTTCATGTAGGTTTCCCTTTAAAGGGGTTGGCTGTCTAAACACAATTCTCCATTCACACATTGTAGATTTCCGTATGAGGGGTCGGCTGTCTAAAGACAATTTTCCCATTGACACATCTTTATTTAGGTTTCCGCATGAGGGTGGCCGGCTGTCTAAACACAGTTTGCTTTTTAAGGAAGTTGGCTGTTTAAACACAGTTCTCCATTGGCAGATCTTTATGTGGGTTCTGTAGGTGGTCGGCTGTCTAAACACAATTTGCTTTCCCTTTGAAGGGGTTGGCTTAAGCACAATTTGCCCTCTGCCCTGTCCCCGCGTGTTCTCAAGTCTTCGGGGACCTTCAAAGGTACCTTTGCGGCACCGGCGGCACCTTGGGTTGGGTTGTAATATGTTGGATTGCCCGCTTAGTCAACAAAAGCGAATCTAGGAACCCATCCGGCTCCTACGGCAAGCCGGGCGTAGTGTTTCTTTGTCCCCAAAAATGGGGTTTGCTAAACTAAATCTTGTATTTTGGGGTAGACTACATATGGAACGGAGTCAGAATATGTTGTTTGGCATACCCAGGCGGGCCAATGTGTTGGTTCTCCAATAGGGGGCCCCCTATTGTTGGTCCCTCTGGGTTAACCTCGAAATACCAGCCAAACTGGGGTCCAACTCCCTAGGAAATCCCCCTTTATATGAACAACATAGTCTTTGGGAAGCCCTTTCCGTGTATCACAGAAGTGGTCATTCCCCACAGCCCTGCTTTTGAGAAACTCCCACATACCCCGGACGAATCAACCCCGGAAATGAAAAGGGGGGAGTCTTGATGGCACACAGTTTGGTCTACCCATGTGGGCCAAGAACAAGCGTGCATGAGTGCCCCCGACTCCAAGAAGCTTTAAAAATAAAGGGTGCAAACAAAAAACCTGGTTTTGAACCCGTTGCCTAGCAAAAAGAGGTTTTCCCCGTACAAAACCCATACAACACCCATACAACACCCATACAAAACCCGTACGTTTGTCTGCTTTTCAAAAACTCGTGTCTTCCCGCGATCATTTTCGAGAACCTTGAAAATTAAAGGTTCTTGGAGTAGATGGTGTGTCTTAAAATTTTGGGGCACCCAAAAAATGGTTGTTCCACGTTGGCTTCCTTGAGAATAACTGCAAAAAGGGCACCCTCAACAAAACAACACACCCGGGTGGATCCGGCGAGGACAATCTCCTTGCGAGCAAAGACACCGCATCTGAGCTGTCGATGGTAGTGAAGCGGGCTGAGGAGCTGTTAAGGCACCCGTGATTTGGACGTTCAACGAGCTCTCTCATTCATTCCCTTTGCTTAAGGGCATGTTTATTTCCCCTGTTGGTTTTAAAGTGAATCTATCACAACTGGACATGTTGATGTTCTGTTCTACGGGACTGAAGCAAATGGAGGAGTCGGGAAGATGAGCGAATTGTCCATGAGTTTTGCCTAGATGGATATGGGGAACCCTTGTTGGTTGGATCCCAAATGAATCCCAAGGGAATCCTTGCCATTGTGGGGTCCCTCTTCTGGAGACAGACCCATGTGTTGGTTTTTTTTCAGAGCACGCTTTCAGCGGCCTTTTCGGTGTTGGTGTAAACGGACCCCAAAACGAAACCCATGTTTCGGGGAGGGGGGGTTCCCATTTAGAGACTAATGTGGCTGCTCAAATAAATGGACCAACATGGCACCTTGACAAGTGGAACCAAAGAACAACACCTGCGTTTAACAGCTGAAGTTTGAGCCACACCCTGATGATTTCCCCACAGGTTTGAAGGAATGGGAAGCCCCCTTGGACATTTGGACCCAACCCATCAGTGGCGTTGCTTTGTTTCCTTTCAAATCGACGTCCTGAGAGCCTCCAACACAGATGTTGTTTTGGAGGGGAACACCTCCCTATTAACAAACAGGGATTGATGAATATGGGGTCAACATTAATTCATGTTTAAAATAGTTGCCTCTTGGAATGGTGCAGCGTTTTGGGTGCAGCGTGTTTGTCACCCGGGTCTCTCGAGAGACATGTCGGCCGGTAGTGGCACTGCAGATAAAAGTGGCTGGACAGTCCCCTTGTCCTCCAAAAAATGAAACTCCAGCCGCAGGCCTCTGGAGATGAAGGACTTGCGCCTCTTCGAGTTGCGACGAACAGCTTCTATGCACTCCTACCCGGCGACTCGATTAAATTTCACCCCAGCCCGAATCAGCGTTTTACTCCTCTTCTTTTGGGGCCATTTGTGGGTTTCTGCCATATAGTTCGGAGCAACCTTGTCATTTTCAGCCGGATTTGAAGCGTCGCTGGCTGGTTGGTGTGACTGCCTTACAGCAAGCTGCACCTGTTGCTCGGGAAGAGTGAACCAGTTGGGTTGGGTCTGTTTTTTTTGGAGGGAGGACGAGCTGGACTCTAACGAACTTCGGGTACAGAGCTTTTTTTAGGAGTTTCCTTTGATTTTCCTTTTCCTACCAACTTCCTTTGATCTGGTACCCCCTAATTCAATCCAGACCACCAATTGGAGGGAAGCTGATTTGAAGAAATGGCAAGTCTTGTGCTTAGCCCGCGGTAAGCGACCAAACCTCAAGCTGGAGGTTTGGTCAGATTGGTTCCCTTGAAGTTAAACCTAAACCCTGAACCCAACCGCAAAACCAAAACCGTACACTCTAAACCTATAAACCCTAAACCTACACGTTAAACCTAAACCCTAAACCTAAACCCAGAACCAAGTCCCAGCGTCCAGCCAGCCAGACTAGTTCGGTGAGTTAAATTGGACAGGGTGACTTCGAACCTCAAAAGACAGACGGAAGCGTCAGTAGAAAAATTGTATTGGGTATTTCTCTTGGTTTCCCTTTTATAGCATTTAAGGACTCAATTTTTACCTTCGTGTTTGCTAGGGTGGCAGAGAGCACCCCCTCAAGGGGAGAACAACAAATGGGATGTCGCGTTTGGTTGACAGTTTAAAGGGCGCCCAACAGGAAAGAACACATCTTGGGGGCTCCCTGAGACATGCTCTTGGCTTTAGGTTCGGCTCGGGCGCATAGGAAAAGCCCAGCTTGAACAGCCGTAGCTTAACCCTTGGCTTAACCTGAATAGCCCGTGGTAAACCCTCAGAGCTTTTGAACCGAATCTCCTGGCAAACATCTGGCAAACCCAGGTCGGCCTCCCTTCCCCTTCCCCGTGGTGACCTTTACTAGGTCCCCCAGTGCCCTTTTACCAACTTTTTTTGGGGAGGGTTCCCCTACCAAAATCGACTACAGAAAAACAGGTACTCTTATTCTAACCTCTCTACTGATATTGGGTTCATGTCAGGGTCCGATTTAGCCCCGGTACAGCCCCTGGTAAAGCCCCTGGTAGAGCTCTTCGCAACCCCTTATCCCCGACAACCCTGTTCGTTCTTGGTAATGCCAATAGGCTCATGCCAGGTTCGACTTTGTCTGACCGGTTTAGCCCCCTAACATGGCTGGCCTTTCGCGTGGCTGAATCGCCGCCTCCTTTGAGAAATGTCCATAGAACCGTGGTCCACTTGGGAGGGACCACCCCACCCCACCCCCTGTAGTGCTAACCCCAGGCCTTCGCAGTGCTCGGCGCTGGCGCTCTCTTCGTGCTGGCCGCTGGCGCGGTGCTGCTGCGGAAGCACCGAACCAGCCGCACGCGTGCGGGGGAGGTGCTGCTGGCTGAGGAGTGAGGCGTCTGCATGCGCCCAGTACCAATGGACAGCTAATATATATATATATATATATATGTCGAGATGCCAAACTGCTCTCTTGGATGACTACAGAACGGAATTCAACTCGCTTGTCCCCCCAATTGTTATCTACTCCAAAAGTCGCAAACTTCGGTGTAAATGATTCCCACCAAAGGTGACACGCGACCTCGGGCGGATGGAGGCTCATGTTTGATGCCGGTCTCATTTTATGAGTCAAGTCATACCATAGTCTGACCATCAAAGCCCACCAAGAAAGATGATGTCAGATAATCTAAAAGAGCAAGATTTAAACTAAATGCTATTCCAACCGTGCTTGTAAAGAGGGTGTGCATCGCCAGACCCTGGTGCGGTATCAAAAGCGTCAAGGAAGCTGGCGATGTTTGAATTGGAAGTGTCCCAAACAGGCTGGACCAGTTTGTATCTCCTGTGGCTAAGTTCCTAAAGTTATTCAAGTGATAGGGAATAAGCCACTTGTGACTATCAAGCAAACTGATTCCTACAAGCATTTGTTCCACAAGCTCGGGATCCATACCGACAATGTTTTTTTCATTGGTTCATACATCATAGCGCCACTTTCTCAAAGCAAACCCGCGACCTCAGGCATTGGTTTGTGACCTTGTGGCATGGTTTGTTTGACTTCACGCTGCAGTCTGCACCCAGATGGGTTGCTTTTGTGCTGGGCCTTAGAGTTAAACCTTGGATTGATTAAGCTATCAACCCCTCATTGATTTGTGGGGGGGAGGGTGTCCCGAAAAGCAGCAGATACGGATCAATTTGGCAGATCACGAAAGCTAAGCTTAAGCTAGCTGAAGTTTCTCCTTGCGTAAGCAAGGTAAGGGGCTGAAAGATTGATTTGTTTACTTGTTTTTTTGGGCCAAAAAGATTGCAATAATCCTTCGTTTTTGACCCCCGCCCCCCGCCCAGGGGCTCGAATCTCCCCTTGCCCTGACCACCCCCCCCAGCCCCAGGAGGTCGAATCTTTCCTGGGCCCTTCTTCCAAGCCACCTCGTGCAGCTAGCTTTCGTTCACCCCTCCTCAAGCATCCATAAAATTATACGTCGACACAACTGGCATCGTCATTTTTTCAGTTTCTTCAGCATGTCCAGGAGATGGTCAATTTGCGGACTCTCTCTGACCCATGCCCATGCATGGTAAACATGCACAACACACTGTAAATACCACTGTTGTGAAGGGTGAGATGAACCAAATGGTCCAAATGTAGTTCAGGGTGGTGTGACCATATGAAATATATATATATATAGATATAGATATATGTATTAAAAAAAATAGCAAAACTTGACTGTGGCACATGTGGCAGTTGGCGCAGGGAGTAGAAGCGAGGAATCGGACCGCCCCGCGGTGGAACTTGGGGCCCGCGCAACGACGCGGAGCCATTTGATCATGGAAACCCAGGGCCCGCAGCTTTTTGGGGAAGGACTTATTGCCTCAAGGCTTCAGGCAGGATTTGCTCTGAAGAACAAGCTCTTCAGGGACTCAACGGACTGCTAGCATTGGTTTGAACCCAGGCAGCCAACCTTGTGGAAGGTGACCGGAGGGCTCAGCGGCCCACCATGTGACGTGAGAGATTCCCTTTCTCCCTGAGCTATCTGAAGTCGAGGGCTCCCGGATTTCGAAGCTTATGTGGAGAGGGGGGGGGGCCCATGAGTTGTTGAGAGAAAGCAAAACTCTAGGGGTACCCCATTCTTTCCCCGGGAATCCTTCTTTGCTAGAAAACCTCCGGAAACCCAGGCAAAACGGATCCGGTTTTTTGGAAGAAGGATGGTTGGAAAGAATGGAAAAGGAATCAACTCCTAAAAAAACAAGATTCACCAGATGCGGAGTCTAGCCTTTTCTCGAAGCCGCGATCAGTGCCCGGAAGGGCTCTGCCTCGGTCCGTTTGAACACGAATTCCGCGAATCTGGCGCACACAGGCGTCCTTTTTGGTTTGGCTGAAAACACGAGGGCGATTCCTGGTTTACGATGGGGCGCTTCAGTGAGAGGGCCATCGTTTTTCCAAAAAGGACACCTTGCGCATCTCTCCATGCTCCGGGCTGCGCGGCTCGACTTGACTGCCGTGCCTGTCAAGCCGCGTGGCGCAAAGAATGGAGAAAGCGCGGGCAGCGCGCGGCGCTGGCAGCTTGGGTCTGGGTCTGGGGTGACATCCTCGAATTTTGCTCGGTGAGGGAAGTCACCCCAAAGTGATTTGGAGCAGTCCCTTACCTTCAGGTGGGTGCACCTACCCCAGGGATCCCATTGGTGTTGACCGATCAAATTGAAACGGACTACCAAACTCATGGGCTCAGGCGGTGGTCTGCTTTTTTCTCTGGGTTGGCTGTTTGAAGCCAGGTCTCGAGCTCACCAGATCAGCGCCTGAAAGGTGGCGAACAGGGCCAGTCATTTCAGGAGAGCAGAAGGTATGTTGGTCGGCTTGGCTATGAATGTTGAGAGTTGCAACCACCTTGAAACGCTTCATTCCACCAAAGGGTCCGGAACCCATGAAATGTCATGCCAGTTGGATGAAGGTTTACTAGGGTATCCGCCTGCTTAGGCGGATCAACATCACAGATCCGGTTTCATGGGCTGAAATGCGGCACAGGCAAGCCTCAAGGTCTGTTTGGGGGAACCCCCTTCCCTTTGGTTTGTTTCGATAGGAAGACGTCCACAGGGCAACAATGTGTGCGTGTTTTCTGACTTTCCGGGTTATGTTTTTATGTTGAGAATTAATTGGGCCGGAATTCCATGCAGCCCTCGGACAGTTTGCCCGCAAGGCTCACATTGGCTGATTGGAATCAAGCATACAAAGGCATTGGTTCGAGAGAAGGCTCCTCATGGCTCTCGGACAATTTGAATTTGAGCCGTCTAATTTGTTGGTGCCTATCATTGCATGGATGTTTGGTGGGTACGAAAGCGATGTTGATTGTTGGACCTATTGGAAGCTGTGCAATGCATTGCTCGGAGAATGGCAACAACTTGCAACAACGCGCACATGGGCTGGAAATCCTGTTTAGGCTCCAAACAGCTTGTGTCAAACAGTCTCAGCAAGGGTACCTCAACACCTCGAACAGTCTCAGCAATGGTACCTCAAAAACACATGCATCACCACCCCTCCTGAATACCAAGTGATTATGATTCTCCGACGCTTTTCAATCACTTGGGATTGGCGATAGTAAAATAGCACTTCTCAACATGTGGGCGTTTCCAAACATAGGGGGTTCCTGATAGTGGTTGGTTGATTTGCTGAAAGTTTGCCATTAAACCAACAGACAGTCTCTAATTTTGAGGATATTTTTTGGGGGGGTCTTTTTTTAGCTGAAAGCCAACGGGAAACCACAACTTTTTCAGGGGTACCTGATTTCACGATGCACCATTGGAACAGGCCGCAGACACGGCTTTGGAGGAATAGGGACAAGCCGCCTTGTTGCAGCCACAACAAATCGGGACAGTTTCCTCAATGTCCGTCCATTAGAAATCAGACTTGGGTGTGTCTTTTTTGGAGGGTACCACCTTTTTTTTGTGGTTTTGAAAGGGAAACGAAAGGAAAGCCACCATTTTGGGTTCCCCTTAGCAAGACAGACCCACTCAACCAGGTCTAACCCTGGCACAGTTGCACGAAAGCTCGTTTTCACGGCTCGGAGCTCGGGCACCCATGGCCATGTTAAGCCACGCAGAGTTGTTTTGTTTCTTTCCATTCAGTTCCGCAATGGAACCTGCCGATTCCCGGGGCTAACTCCTTTTTGGAGTTGGTGCCCGTTTTTGTTTTTTGTTTTTTTGCGGGGACGAAGAAAGGAAGCCAACTGATATCTTTTTTCTGGGATTCAACCCGAAGTTCAGACACGCTGATATCTTTAACCGAGGAGCTAAAGCTGGTTGGCTTGTTGCCTTTCAGCAACGGACCATATGAGCTGGGTATCTTTATTGGGTGGGAGAGATATTAGCTTTGCAGGTCGATGAGTCGATGGGCATCGGGTTTGAGACACCAACTTGTTTCTGGTGGTCCTTTGGGGTATTGACATGGGTGTGTCATCTGCGGTTTGAAAGGAACACCAAAAGGACAACCACCATTTGGGGGAGGGTCCCCGAACATCAGACACCCTCACACCTCAACACCCAACTGCTCACCAGGCCGCCGCTGCCAACGAGTCGCCGAATGAGCCGACAAAATGATCGTCGACGGTTTGGGGACTGCTCAGCAGGGAATGACTGAGTCCGGCTCTTGGGAGTGAACCGTTTCGGGATTTCCTAGAAAAAAACCATAGGGGACGGTTTAGAGGGGTCATTCCCTCATTCCCTGCTGAGAAACCGGCAGGCCATGTCCTCTTTGGCAAGCAAGTCAGTTTGTTTGTCTCAAATGCATTTGCCAGGGTCTGGGAGCTCTGAATTCGCCCTTTGTGAAATTAGTGTGTACCATGCCACACTCTGTAAGCAACCATGGACTGGATGAATTATGCATGGGGAAAGCTATCAGGGGTGAGCTGTGAACAAGCTCGCAACCGGCAACTACCATACCTTTTGGCAAAGCCAATTTGTCGACCCGGATTCAACAATTTGTGGATTTGAGAGGGGGCAACCGGGGTCTACCCGAAAGTGATCTCCGGTTTCTAACTTTGAACCGGGACTTGTGATCAAAGCAACCACCAAAACGGCTGCCAGGGCTTCATCAGCCTCCCCTTGGTGTTTTTTTGTTTGGCGGGCTATTTGTGGGGAAGCCAAGGACAAGCCCCCCAATAAGGTCCATACAAAGGGTTTAACAGGTGATAGCCCCCCTCCCCATCGGTCTTTTGGAGGTCCACGACTTGTTTCGTGCCTTTCAACCTGCAAGGCAGGTCCGCATTGTGCAAGTACGTGTTTGCTGCGCAAGATTTGACCGCTCTAAGGATGAGGATGTGTTGTCATACTTCTCTGGCTTGCCATTTCAAGAAGCCCAAACCGGTAACTCGAAAGGCATGCGGCAGACGGAATTCTTGCTACGAATGATTCGAATTTGATTGGCATAGCGGACTTGCGCATTGGATTATGATTGACTTTCTATGTTTTAAAGGGATGCATCGTTGAGAAGGTCCGTTTGCAGTAATGTTGACCCTATACTATATATTAATCAACCCCAGTTTATGAATAGGGGGGTGTCTCTACTTTGGGGGGAATCATCACTTTTGGACTGGAACGTCCCCCCCCTATTAATAAGCTGGGGTTGATGAATATGGTGTCAACATGAATTCATGTTTCAAAGAGAGAGTTGCCTCCTGGAACGGCGCAGCGTTTTGGGTGCAGCGTTTTTGTGATATGGGTGCTGAAGCAGGGGACCCCTAAAAAGGGTGTTGTTTCCGTTGGGTATCGTTGTCCTTTGAAATAAGCCCAAATCGGGTTCCACCAAAAAACCAACAAGCCACATGAGCATTTATGACCAAGGTTGTAGAACAGACCGTCAATTGGTTTCGGGCGCTGCACAGGTTGTGAGGCAGCGTGATTTCGGGAATGGCATTGGCCGAGTTCGCGGTGAAGAAGTTGTGAGGTGTCAAAAAAAGCAAGGATTATTTTCCACAACCATGCTGAATTGGTGATGTTGTTTGCGGCTGAGCTAGGGGGCGGTTTCGATTCGGAATGCCGCGAATTCCGGCTCGCAGGAGTTGGAAGTTAGCCTTCGGATCACTGTGGGTTCCGCCGGCGCGTAAATCAAATGAAGTCATAAGCTGTAAGGGCGAGCCATGCAGACCCCCCGACCGTCCGAGGACCGTCTTGTGCAATCAAACTCAGTTGTTCAAAGCAAATCGACCTTTTGACCTTTTGGTTTTCCCATTTTGGTCCATATTTAGTCATTGCCCCAAAAGGTGATCACCTCTTAGTTCCAGGTCCTTTGGGCAACTGAGCATGGATGTCTCCTCTCTGGAACCGAGAATGACCCGAACCATAGGAGTCCGAACGAGTTCAGCGGACCAAACCGGGCAAAAAGCCGGAAGACTGCGGCAAAAAGAACCAGTTCGGTTGAGAGTTTGGCCACAAACTCTGAGGAGTTGAGAAGTTCATTGGCACAAAGCCGGTATGAAAATTGTGAAGGGTCAAACTAAGAATATTTGTCTGAATCATACCTGAAGCACATTCCCTACCGGTTCCAAACGTGGTTGCTGCCATCACTTGGGGGTTGACCAAGAAAATGACCATTGAGGAAAACCACTAAAAAGATACAAATGGCTCAAAACTGGGGGCCGACCGGAACATTGATCAACCTCGACTCGCTCGCACGGCTGGATCTGTGGGTCATGGTCTTCGGCGCGCTGCCGCACATTGATGCTCAGCTCAAGGGAGCAACCAAAAAGAGGGTAGCCTTTCTCCCACGTTGCGACGGCACCCACTTGGAGGGACCTGTCGTGTCATGTGAGTGGGAAAGAGGGTACATGAATGGGTAGATGGGTCTGCCGTCTGCCTTTTTTTTTTTTGGGGGGGGGGGGGCGGGGGGGTACGACTTTTTTTGGGGTGGTTTCAAAGGAACTCCGACAGGCAAGCCACTTTTGCGGGGTCCAGCCTGAAAATGACACGCGGGTGCCCTTTGGGTTTAGACAGCCGACTTCGGGCGGAAGGTTAGGGAGCCCAATCTTTTTTATCGCTGCCTTCGCCCAGCTTTTTCAATGATTCTGTTCTGGGTAGACCGAATTGTTTTTTCCCCATCGCTTTTTCGAGCTTTCACTGCGATCTCAGGCAAAAGGGGTCTCCGATATGTTGTAAGGTGAAGTAACCACCCGGTTGGGCCCAGGCATCCAAGCTGCCCTCAAGTGTGCTTCGTTCGCAGACAAACAGATCACCCCTTCGATCCATCGGCGGAGTTCTGCTGTGAAGGACATGTCATGTACGACACCTGAGGGCAATGAAGCCTAAGTCGTAAAAGTCGTTCACCCCGGATATTCAGCAAGTTACCTCGCTCGGTGTGTTTGCATGTTCACGAGTGCAACTGGGTCCAGGCAGGTTGATGCGTGCATCCCCGTCTCCCAAAAGCTGGAACTGTGGGAGGCTGCGGGTTCGCTGTGCTGTGTCCCGTTGCGAAATGGTGCAACATGGCAAGGTTTGTCTTTTCCTCGAGCCATCCTCACCCAAGTACTTGACTTTTCCAGCTGGTTTAAACCTCAGATGGCCATGGAATGAACGAACGCAAGGGTGTGTTGGTTTGGCTCATCGTGGCAGCAAGGGATGTGTGGACCACCGAAAAGGAGACTCTATGTAACTATGGGCTTGATCCGATCCCGATCCCAATGAGTGGCCGTAAGAAAGTGTCCCACAAGCAGATGCGCGCATGCATGCAAAAGCACGTTGCCCAGGGTGTGCCATTGAACTCCCAGCGAGCAGAAATCAGTTGGGACCTGCTGGGAGTCTAAGCTTCAGGGGGCACGTTTTGTTTTTTTCCCCCGTTTGTTTTGCCCTTTCAGATTTTCGTTTCGTGTGTTTTGCTTTCTGTTTTGGTTTAAAATCAACTACCAACAAAAAGTGTGCCCCTTTTCCCTCTGGACATTTGGGGGGGGGGAGGCATTCTCTCTGACTTGCCCCCTTCCCCGGAGAGCAAGTCATGTGATCCCATCCTTCTTCTCAGGACTGGCAATACCAGAAGGAGTTGGAGGAGGGGACGCTTGGGAAACGGACCGCTTGACCTCTTGTTAGAGGACCCAAAGACTCAACACAGTTTGCCTCCAGACAAAAGTTGGGCTTTGACTCAAGATGATTTTCTCTGCCACAAATGAGGAAAAAAAAGGCTCAGGTGCCCGATTTCCGAGCTGTTGACAGTCCACGTTTGGCTTTTCGGGGTCTTGGCAAAAGGCGCCGGGCAGCGGATCGCAGGTAGAACATGGCCCTTTGGTCTACACTCAACCTTTCCCAGCTCGCAATGTAAGCTCGTTTGAGGGGGTTCAGTTTATTTTTGTTGGGTTTTGCGTTTGGTTTCTCTTTTTGTATACCCATGCCACCAATGAACATGGAATCTGAAAGGGGGGTCCTGGTTTGGACCAGTTGCTTTTTCATTGGGACCGGGTCCCGAACGTCAGGTTCCAGGTGAATTGCTGGGAATTGAGAAGACATGCTTTTAGCAAAGAAGGACGCAGTCCGAACGTTTTTGTGGCTAATCGAAGTGAGTGGATCCGGGGTCAAGCCTTCAGGAGAAGCATGGCAAAGCCCTGGCGGAGGCAAGTAGTGCCCGTTCAACTTTTCGTTTCGTGTGTTTGTCTTTCTGTTTTGGCTTAGAAACAACATGACCCTTTAAAAATAGGTCCATGACCCACCCCATTTTTTGAAGGTCATGGAGACTCTAGGTACCAACAAAAAGCGTGCCCCTTTTTCCCACTGGACATTTGGGGGGACGGGAAGTGTTGTTCTGCGCGGTTGGTTTTAGACGGGAAAGGAAAACGACCCAACATGGGGGGGGGTTCCACGTGAGTCAAATCACATGTGTTTGAACTAATTACCAGGCTCTGGCCCCCGGAAAAAAACAAAAGAAAAAAGAAAGAGACAAAACATGTGATAACTGGGATTCCCATCCCCCACGAGTACTAATTTATCACTAGGAGACTCTCTTGGTATCAGGCTGAGGTTGTTCAACCGGGCGGAGCACAGATTCAACGGGCTCCTCCCCGGAGCAAGTCCTCCAAATGGGGCGGCCTGGTTTTCTTCAGCACCCTTCTCCTTTGGGTTCCGAAAGGGAATCCAAAGGACCAAAGGCTTCAAGACTAGGTCCCCCAGTACCCTTTTTGGTGGGGAGGGTTCCAAACTACTAAAGTAGACCACAGAAAAAGAGTCGGTACCCTTATTCTAACCTCTCTACTGGAGGACCTAGCAGAAGTGAGGGTCTTCTTTGGGGGTTCCCAGCAAAAGTGGGGATCAAACGGAAGTGTTCCGAAACCTGATCGTCACGGGGCTAGAAAGGTGGAACGATGGTTATTGAAACTAGAAGGAGTCTTTTACTCACTCCCTGAGTTCAAGGACTTTGTACTTTTCGGTCCGGCCCATGGTGGTGGTAAATCAAAAAGGCCAGGCCTTGTTTGGCCAATCCATGAGTGAGCAATAGCCCATCATTCAACTTGTTTATCCTCCAGGGGTGCCCTTTTCTCCGTTTCCCTTTAACATTAGGTAAGTGTGCCCTTTTTCCCCATGGCCACGAGGATATCAAAAGCGTTTGATTTGCCAGACTCCATTTAGCACACAGTCAAGCCTTATCCTTATATAGAGGACGCCGTGGCGGACATAATGATGTGTTCCGCATTAAAAGTTCACCGTGGGCAGATTATCACGAGCTTCCGCAGTGCAACACCTGGCCGCTCCAATAGACATGGAAGTGCGCAGACTCATTTCAGAAGACAATCTTCCTTTGAGCCTGGAAACCATGTTTAGTTACGTTAGACAACCTTTTGGCTTCCTTACGGACCTTTCGGCAATTGCTTAAAAGACTCGGAAGCAATCAGTAGATCTTCGGGTTGCTTACTTTATGTTTCGGCCCTGCTGCGCCTTGTAGCTTGAAACATGACACTTATTCTTGCATGAGCCAGCACTTGGAAGGGGGCCCGTTTTTTTTTTTTTAATTAAGTAAACAAAAAGAGAACACCATGTTTTGTCTTGGAAGGGGTCCTAGCTTTGTTGTTTTGTCTCTGAGTTTTTCTCGGAAACCAACTTGAAGCCCAGCTGGGTGACGCTGAGTGAGGCACGCTAGACAGGCGAGCATTTGGATCCTGCGCCCCGACACGGCGCCGGCTATTGTTCGTCACGAAGGCGCCGCTTTGGTGCAGGTTGGTGCAAAAGAAAGAGGTCGCCGACCTTGAGCCTCAGCTTGCACCGCAGTCTGAGAGGCCAAAGGCCCAAGGCATATTGGCCGCTGGGTTGAGAGGGAGCCACTCAGGCGGTGGCCACGTGCCTTGGCTCCCGGTGGTACCATCAGCTGACACACACACCGAGCATCACAGCCAGCGAGTGCCTCTTCCTCCGCTCCCCGGTCGCGCAGGCCTGTGACCAGTTTCTTTGATCCGCCTCTTACAAAGGCTATGCCAAAAGCCGGTGCCAATTTCACCTCATCCGTGTTTTACAGCCTCAATGGTGCACTAAGCCACCAACCCCCCCCCGAACACCGAACCACCATACCGCCAAACCCTCAAACCAGACCGTTTTGGTCCACATAGCCCAACAGCAAGGATGATTTCCGTTTCATGTTTATCAACATAGGTTGCGTTCTTCTTCTTCAGGTTTTGTCGGTTTGGTTTGGTCACTTGCCCCTGAAAGACCTGGAAATAGAAGGTTAACCTTTTGAGGCCATGCGACGTCGAAATTGTGGCTACGCGTGTTTCAAGCCATTGCTCTACAACCCGTGCGGGATCTGAAGGACTGAACGGCGTAAAGTAGACCCGTAAAATCAATAATTCTTCTTTTCTGGCTGTGGGTACCCAGACTTCAAGCTATGTTGCAACCAAAATCTGAGGGCTTGTGCCGAAGCCACTGCATTCGGCCAAGTGCAATTATGGAAGCTGCCAGAGGAGCTTTGGGTGCTGGAATGCGTACGCTGCAGGGCACAGAGCCCTCTTGCAGGTCGTTGACACTGTAAATGATCGCCTTGGAAGACGTGCCCACGATTCTGCGCAAAAGAAACCTGCCTCCAAGCACTTCACCCACCCGCCGGTATGTTGCTCGGGGGGCGAAATATGGATTAAGGGGAAACAAAAATGACAAAAGGTCGGTTCACTTTGGGCAGCTGAGTTTGGTTTGGTTTAGCACCTTTCCTTTGGGAATGAACCAGGGGATGGTTTTTTTGGGGCTCATTCCCTGGTTTTGGCTTTGTCTTGCTGGTGCTTAGTGGGGAATGACCCAGGTTGGGAATGAACCTAGGGATTCCCTTAAAGGAGTAGGGGATGGTTTGTAGGTCCCTCATTCCCTGAGAACCAGCAACTTGTTTGATTTGGATTGGTGGTTGGGGGATTTGACCTCATGTTTTTTGTAACCCTTGAACCAGCAATCCACCAATTCGAAGCTGAGAAGTGTGTTTGGGTTGGTAACCACCAATCCACCAATCCAAACCTTAGAGGGAAGCTTTGGGGATTTGAACTCATGTCTCTTGTAAAGGGAAAAATGGGAAGCCACCCGCTTTAACCATCAAACTGCCAAACCACGAATCCGAACCACCAGTCAGAGGGAAGCTGAGTTTGGTTTGGCGGTGCAGGGCAGCTGCGGCCCGGGCCTTTGGAGCCTGCGGCGCTGCGTGCCCAGCGGCGAGGCGGGGGGTTTGCGGATCCTTTCGCCAGGTAGCCGTTTCGCACGAGCCGAGGGACACCCCGAGAGCTATAGGAATTGCGAACCTCCATTGGGCTATGGGTCGAAGGTTTGAGTCGTTTCGGATTTTATGAAGGTCACTTGAGACTTACCTCCTGAAACTAGGTCCTTTATCTATTTGCGTGGATCTGAGTCTAACTTTCTGGGACACGGTACGAATTTACATGGCCCGCAAGAAGTGATACACTTGTTGCACGGGGGTCAACGGCAACCAAGGCAAGTAATAACAAACTTCCACTTGCTCAATGTGGTTTGTTTTCCCTTCATAGATTGGTTTCAAAGGGAAGATATGACTACTGGAAATATGTTGTTTTTTCTCCAGCGGACTTAAAGCAAAATGGAGGATACCAATGGCCCATGTGTTGCCTAGGATCAGGGCAGATTCCATGCGAGCTCAGCCGAGCTTGTCAAATCCTAGCAAAAAGTAACCAGCTCAGAGACAAGGTGACTTAGTAGAATTGTACTTCTTGAGTTCTCATGGACTTCTACTTTTTCGGCCTGGACCATTTTAAGTGCTACACAAAAAACTTGGACTTTTCCTGGCCAGTCCGCTCAGGATGTCAGTTGTTGGCTTTAGACAGGGCGGGTGCCACTGGTTTTTGCCAATCCGGTCGGGACGTGAGGAAAAACAATTAGCTCTAGGGGGTGATTCCTTTTCCATTCTTTTCAACCATCGTTCTTTCCAAAAACCGGATCCGTTTTCCCTGGGTTTCCGGAGGTTTTATAGAAAGAAGGATCCCTGGAAAGAATGGGGAAGGTGCCCCTAGAATAGTGCGGTGCCAGCGGGTTCCTGGCTGCCAACCTTCTCGATCGACGGCCTGGGTGCACAAAAAATAACCGAGTGGGCTTGAAAGGAGAAAAGGCCGAGGCAAGTCACGGCTTCCAAACAAGATTCGCTGCTTTTAGGAGTAGAGCATCCACCAGTTGTTTTTTCGCGGACCCAGCAATTGTTTTTTGTGTTTGGTGGTTTGGGGCGATAGGGAACCCGAGCACTTTCAGCGGGCAAGATTGGCTTGTGATTCCCGGAATTGCTCTGGGCATATCCTCTTGCTGGCTGTCCCCTTCGCGCTTGCCAGGAAATTGATAAAGACCCTTAGAACGAGCATTTTTTGGTCTGTAAGTCCAAGAACACATCGGGCCCTGAACCTTTCGTTTGGCCGCCCACAGACCGGGCTGCAAACTATCAAATCGGCTAATTGCCTCTTGGTTATTGTTGGGAAACATTTTACATTTTTGCTTATGGTGCTTTACGTACTGGGAGATCCAAAACCACTCAACCGCTATTTTTTGGCTGCCCTTCCAACGTCAACAGGCAAAACACAGATCTGATCAATTGTTTGAAGGACCCAATGCTTGGGGCGGCGTCCAAAAACAACTGCTCAGGGCTCGACATGTTTGTTGTTTGACCCTTACGGGTAGTAGCAATACCTCCCAGTTCCGGCCAACCAAGGAAAAACAGAAAAGTTCACTGGCAAAAGCGAAGGGGCAAGCAACAGCAACTGGGTTTGCCGAAGAGTGTGTTTGGAAGGCCCGGCCTTTTCTCCCTCCAAGCCGGTTTTTTGTGCACTCGAGCAGCCGAGAAGGCATGTTGGCCAGCCGCCAGGCAAAATTGCCATCCTATATCCTTACTTCTCTCTCAGACTCAGTTTGTTGCAAGAGATCAGGCAATGGAGATAGGAGATACCATGCGCGAATTTATATTAAGGTGAGGTACCAAACTCAATAGATGTTTATTCAACGCGGTGACGAGGCAATTATGATTCCAAATTCAGTAGTTGCCCAAATCGAATCCACCTTTTGAGCCTTTGGTTTCCCTTGTTGCCAGCTCCTTTGAGCCTAACGGTTTCCCCTCCCCACCACCAGGTTCTTGGTTTGATCCATGGCAAAATGCGGCAATCCAGGAGGTGAGCAAGTGCACGGTGCGTGCTTTCGAAGCCACAGAGGACCCGGATGTGGCAGGTTTGTAATCGTCAGAGCCCGGGTTAGTTTAAGGTTAGCAACGGACACAACCACCCAGAAATCGGTGCAGATATTCCTTTTGATTCTTTGCATCGTTTTGGGCAGGCCATTTTAATCCGGGTTTTGATCTTGACGCAGTAGTCTAGATAGTCTAGATTGCTCTTTAGTTTCCTTTGCCTGGCGACCAAATCTCTGTCCTTTTGTTGATGTCTACGGTCGATCTGGCCCCGGAAACTGTCTGGATGTGTTGTAGGATTCAAAGAGCACCAAAAGAGTGCCAAAATAGAACCGACACGAAGAAGAAGGGGTGGGAATCCGTAAAAAGCGGATCCAAGCTGTCTTCTAGAGTGGGTGTGTCATTCAGCAATCAGGGGAATTTACATGGACTTCCGGACATAGGGGATTCTCTAGAACTATATAAACTTGCTGGTGCCCAGTAGGGAAGGACCTTCCGGGGGCTGGGATTCCCTTAAAGGAAACCATTGGATGGATGGGTCATAGGGGTCATTCCAACTCATTCCCTGAGAACCAACGAACATTTTGACCGTTTGTGTTCTGCAAAGGGGATCCCTGGGTCATTTTTCTGCCGAGAGTTTTGGTCCATTTTTAGTCATGGCCTCAAAAAGTGATCACCTTGTATGAACAAGCTCTAGTTTCTCTTGTTTTTGGTCAAACCCTCGCCCAAAGGCTCTTGCCAATCCCGGTTATATGCAGGCATCCTTGTCTCTCCTTGAAAGATGCATCCAAAGCCACCTGCTTCACAAGGGATTTCCGTCCCTCAGTTAGCTGGTCTTTGGATGAGTTCTGCTGGCCCAAATGCACTCATTTTTATTCCGTTGGACTTTGTTGTGTTCCACGTGAATTTGCAGGGAATACTTGTAGTGAGCTCACCGATGAGGGGAAAAGTGAGCTCCCCCATCATGAAGGTCTTGCTAGCGAATTCCCTTCGTGATTTTATAACATTTGCTTTGGCCAAGTGGCAACAAATCGGGGAACCGATCCACAAAATGGTTGGCTTGCTTTCTGCTTTTTTTGCAACCCAATGAAGCCACAATCCGCTTCAGCATAAGGAGCCGCTTGCTTGTTTGGTCCAGGGAATCGGCTAAACCCAATAAGCCACAGGGCCCATGGGGGAAATGAGCTCTGGGAGTCTTGCAACAAGCTGACCCAGATTTGTGAAGACTAAGAAGACTAAGAATAATACTTGAGTTTACTCTTCTTGATAACTAATCTTTTTTTCCCCAGTTTGTCAATTCGAGCATGTTTGCCCAGATTAGTTCATGAACGTGGGATCGTACAAAGATCCTCCTTCATGGGTTCATACAGAGTTATGTCTCAACATAAGAGAGCCCCAAAAATGGTAGTCCTCCTTGGGTGTCCCTTTTGAACCACAAACAAATGGGCGCCCTCAAAGAAAGACATTCAGCCTGTTGATTCCCGTGCGAAGGTACACTTCAAGCCACCCTTCTGGCATGGGATTTGGTGGATGCGCAGACAGGATGTTGATGGGTCGGATCTTGTCTCCGCCGCCTGCTTCGCAGCTGCTCTTTATTCAGGATGTCTGTCTGCAGGTGACTCATGGGGTGTCGCGCCCAGTCAGTCCAGGGTCTACCAATTGGCGAAGGTCAAGGCGGAGAGGCCAAGGAACGAGGCCTCACATGACGCCAATCTTGATTGAGTTTGCTTCGGGAGGGGTATGGAAGCAACCCTGCGTCTCTGTCTCCTGGTGCTAAAAGCCGTGCACACGGAGAGGTAGAATTCTGGAGACTCTTGCGCGTAACCAGGGTCATTATTTTGACGGTTTCTGGGGATTATCAAAGTCAGAAAAATGGGGTTATTTCCCTTTAACCCACCACTTAGGGGGTGACTTTGATCACTGTAAAATAAAGAAGCCAGTGTAATTGCATCAGCTCTTGCTCCCCTGCATTTGTTTCATGGAAGGTTTCGGATTCCCAGGCTTCATTTGAAGCATCAAAACGCATCCGGTTGCAACCGCAAAGCCTGGATCATCCCAGGTTCCTAAATTCCCCCTTCTGGTTTTAGTCAGTGCCAGCTTGAAGTGAGCTTCCTCTTTGGTGGGTGAGTTTCCATCAACTACCAACAAAAACAAAGGAAAAGGGCACCACCGCCCCCCCCAAGAAAGAACCAGGATCCCTTTCAAACCCACAAAAAGGAATGACCCTTTCTTTGGGCCACCCTCCCCCTCCCAAGAAAAAAAGAAGTGTCTATTTGGATTTCCTCTGGCTTTCTTCAAAACCCCCCTCCCCCTCCCCCCCCCCAACAAAAAACAAGGGCCCAGTTTTTGTCTGGCCCGTGGAAACCAGCACACGCTGTGCCACGCTCCCGGAGAAACGGCGAAACGGCTCAACTCGCTCGCTCCTTCGGTCTCTCAGGAGACCTTCACATGCCACAGGTCCGTGGCCCGGGCCCGGGAGCCCCAACACGCGGGAAAAGAAGACGGCGGGCTTCGAGTGGGACATCGCGGCACGCGTGTGTTTGGCTTTTTGTTTTCTCCAGAGGACTTACGCAAATGGAAGTGTTGGTGTGAATTTGTGTGAATTTGTTTGTGAACTTGTGTGTGTGTGGATGTGTCTGCGTGAATTTGTGTGTTGATGTGTGTTTTGTGGAGTTGTGTTTGTGTGGCTTTGTGTTTGTCTGTGTCTGTCTGCGTCTGTGTCTGCATGTGTAGTTGGTGTGTGTGTGTGTGTTGGGGTTTGCGCGTGTTTTTGTCTTACAGACCCTCTTCAGCCTGGTTTAAGGGCAAACCACAAGGGAACAACTCAGTTTTTGGGCGGCCCCCTTTTGACCATGCATGTTTGTTTGGAGCATCACCTTGAACGGCGAGTTGAAAGTGCGATTTCTTTTGGCCCATCAAAGTGGTGAAATGCCATTTCGGAATGTTAGAGCCTGAGGATATCACAGCTCGCTTTGAATGAGCTATGCACGAGTCCCTGGACATTGTACATATACACGACGAGCTATACGCCACCATTGGTAAGTATATAACATATGAGCAACCATTGCGCCATGGGGGTTTACTAACCAATATGAAATGTCACTTGGGGGCGCAATGAATATTGACTGTCACATTGTGCCACTAGCCTGGTTTGGGTTTTGCGTTGAACCGTGGGAACCGCAAGTGAGAATGTGCCGGCCGGTGTAAAGATTTCTTGGACCAGGAAGATGTCAGGAGCACTTTGAAATATGTTCAAACAGTTTTTTGGGAATTGCGGCTCAGAATATGATGGACTACAGCATATCTGCACGAATAATCAAAGTGGAGGTAATTCAAGCAAGTTTTCCCATTATTCTCCACCCCTGAAAAGCAAAAGGGGAGGAATTTCGGACTTGAGTAGGCCCAACTCTCCCCAGTTTCTAGTTTTTGTTTTTTTCCACGATTGACCCCCAAAGAATGTTTGACGGTGGGGGGGGCTTTACTATGGTTGGAACCCACCAGCAAAGTGACCCCGTTCGAATCGCTGGAGTTGTCGGTTTAGTCGTTTTGGCTTAGTACCGCCACCTCTCAACAAGCCAGCCGCTCGGAATCCTCGAATCCTCGGGATCCCGAATCCTCCGAACAGGGTCCCCTATATTTCCCCTTTAACCATCACACCACCAACATCCCAAAACCGGTCTTTCCAAAACCATCCCAAAGGGGGAAACATACGGACACCTTCCAACCAGTGGTCGAACACCAGCCAAAAGGGGAAACCAAAAAAGCAACAAAAACACATCCAAGAGGGGTCAACATAGGGAACAAAAGCGCATGTGTCCCAAACCACCCATGGATTTGTTGCTGAACGCAACGCCAAAAACCAAACCATCCAAGAAAAGAACCTGAACAAACATGATAATAATTCAAACCCACATGTGTCCAAAAAGCGCCACGGGGTTTTCCTCCTGCGGACTCGCCTCGCCTAGGAGGAGGAGGTGCGGCCGGAAGAGCTCGCCAGCCTCACGCTGGAGCCGCTGAGCAAAGGCGCGGCCGCCCGGAAGCCCAGTAGCCCAGCGCGAGTCGCTCGAACGCTCGAACCGTCCCCCCCCCCCCCCCCGCAAAACCCGGCAACAAAGGCCATGTAACCACCCCCCACAAAAAGAAAGGGTTCTCCAAAAAACGCCTTCCCCCCAAAATATATTCATATATATATATATACATATGGTCCCGTGTTCCGTGTTGCTACCCCCCCCCCCCCATATGGTATGGGTCCCCCAGGACCCCCCCCCCCCGGCCCGAGACCCCGAGCCCCCGGATCCTGTCACCTACGGTCCCACCCCGACCCCCTGAACTCGCACCCCGACACCCCGGCAACCCCACCCCCAGGACAAGCCAACCCGCAACCAACCATAAACCAACCCTAAACTAACCCTAAACGAACCCTAAATACCCGTTAAACCAAACCCTAAACCGTAGACCTCTAAACCTAAACCAACTCTAAATCAACATAAACCAACCGTAAACTAACCCTAAACCAACCCTAAACTAACCCCAAATGCACCCTAAACCAATCCCTAAACAATAAACCCTAAACCTAAGCCAACCCTAAACCAACCCTAAACTAACCCTAAACCAACCCTAAACCAAGCACTAAACCGTAAACCTAAACAAACCCTAAACCAACCCTAAACCAACCCTAAATCAACATAAACCAACCCTAAGCCAACCCTAAACTAACCAGAAATACACCCTAAATATACCCTAAACCAATTCTAAACCAACCCTAAACCACCACAACCCAACCACAGGACCACAACCACAGGGGGGGGGGGGGGTACTTGTCTGACCCATGACCATTGGTGGGGGGGGGGGGCTGGCAACGCTGTACCATATATAATAGAATGGGTTCTCCAAAAGCTGTTGTTATTTTGTCAGCTGTTTCGTGGACCCCGAACATGATGTGAAAACCCCAAAAGCGAGGGCGGGGGGGACTTCTCCACAAAGTGTTTTTTGCATATAACGCCCCCAAAAAAAAAAAAGAAAAACGAAAAGAACAAAAGTTGGGTCCTCCAAAAAGTGTGGTCATTCTGTGAACAGTTTTTTGGACTCCAAAAACGGTTGGATCTCCAAAAGGTCGGTCTTGTTGTTAACTGTTTGTTGGCACTTGGGGCATCCCTGCCCAAAGGAATCCTGGCACTTCGGGTCGTTTTTTTTTTTTTTTTTTTTTTTTTTTTTTTTTTTTTTTTTCGTGGATGCAAAGCATCGCCTTTTGGTTGCCGGAACGCGCGTGGAACATGTAGGGAGCTGGTGGCGATCGCGGGTCCTTGGACTGAGCGCCAGCAAGGAGTTGCCATTTTTCCAGCTCCCGCTGGGGATTTTGGAGCAATTTTCTTGGATCCGACGTTTCATGTGGTAGGCGAGCAACATGTGTATCAGTTACTCATTTCCGTGCTTGTTTTTTTCTCGGGGATCCCCCCCCCATTTTGGGTGGTTTTCCTCCTGGTTTCCCTTTAGAGCCGCACACAAATATTGATCAACCTCTGTTTGTTAATATGGGGGTGTCCCTGGTTTTAGTGGGCATTGATCACTTTTGCAGGGGAACACCCCCCATATGAACAAACAGAGGTTGATTAAGGGGGTCAACATCACTCAAGAAGACGAGCCTCGCCCTCCCGGGCCAACCTCCCGGGAAAGCGCCTGAGGCGTGGGGGTCCGCCAAGGCCTGGAGAGCGAGTTCCATGCGCTAGTGGGTTGGATCTTTAGACGCTTTTTGGGTAGACTTATTTTGCGGAAATCAAGGGATCTTTTCTCATTATACCCACAAAAAGTAAACTCCGTTTGGGGAAATCAAGGGATTTTGTCCCATCAAACCCAGACAAAGTAAACTTCTTTGGGGGAAATCAAGGGTTTTTTCCCATGAAACCCACAAAAAGTAAACTTCTTTGGGGGAAATCAAGGGTTTATTTCCCATGAAACCCACAAGAAGTTAGAAACA